GTGTGTGTGTGTGTGTGTGTGTGTGTGTGTGTGTGTGTGTGTGTGTGAGAGAGAGACAGAGAGAGAGAGAGAGAGAGAGATCTATAAGGGAAAGGGAAAGGGCAATGTAAGGTGCAAAAGGCTGCTGGGTAGTTTTCTCCTTTTCCTGGGCTGCAGATCTGGAGGAGGGAGGCTCAGTCCTCCTGTGACCCTCCCAATGATTAATGTGTTCAGTGGCACAGTTGCTCCTTGGTTAAGCTGCATTGGCATTCGGATTTACACATTGAAATGCAGGAGATTGGGGCTGAGCGGCGTCATCAGAGAGCTTGTTCTCATCTAAATGGGGTCTCCCAGGTCAAGGGGAGCCTTTCCGTCCCTGGGGCTGGGCCCTCACACTGCTTGTCTCGAGCCTAGCTGACTCAGATTTGTCTTTCCCCTTCTGTGGCTCCGAGTCAGTGTTGGCCTTTGGCAAGATTGTCAAGGTCTTCGTTGTGTAGCCTGAGCTCCACCCTCCCAGGCATCTCATCCCTTCTGGGTGATCGGGGACAGTCAGTGCCCACTCAGGTCTTAGTGACTTGATGTGTTCCCCGCACCGCGAGTCTTTTTCACACCCTTTCCCATAGCCCTCAAATCACACCGCCCTGGGTACCCCGGGAGTCTTCCACAGAAGGTTGGTCCTTTCCTGAGCAGCATTCTGCCCGGAAAGGGCAGGAGTGGCCTTGGGATTTCTGGAGGCTGGTCATAGCCCAGGCCATGCTGGCCTCGTTACCTGGGCCTGGAGACTAAAAGCTCATCTTCTGTTGCTCTTCCTCTCCTACGTCGGCAGAATGAATATATGAAAGATGACTTCCTGATTAAAATTGAAACCTGGCACAAACCTGACCTTGGAACACTGGAAAATGTAAGTAGAGCTGTCGAGGACACCACTGGATCACCAGGCCCTACCCAGACCTGCCCACCAGGGCCTCACCACTCCTTAGTTACCAGAAAGGGGGCTGGCTGCCTGTCCTGGGGCCTGGTCCTCAGCATTGCAGAAGGTGACCTCCAGGGACTTGCCCAACTTCCTCCTAGTCCTTGTACTGGTCCAGAGGACAACTTACACTGAATTGTAGTGATCCTGGGGAGAAACACACAACAAAATGACGCTTTAGACAGATATCTGCATATTGCTTACCTTCTCAATGCGTGGGGGAGGGACTGGAGGGAGGAAGAGAACTTGGAACTCAAGATTTTTTCAATGAACATTAAAAAGAAATAAATAAATAAGTGAAAATAAAAGGTTTTTTTTTTTTAAAATAAAAAGAATTTTTAAAAACCAAGATCCCCAGTCAAAGGCTTTTTGCATGAAAGTTTCATCTCTGCAGTGGGGGGTGGGGTGATAGTTAGTCCTAAGGACTAACTCAGCAGACTGAAGGGTTGACAACCACTGCTTTAATTACACTGAGGTAAACATCAGTCCCCTATTTATTTTGGTTGGTTTTGCGAGGAAAGCTTCCCCCAGAAGGAATCCCTCTCTTGGCCTCATTGGCTTTGGGAACCCTTCTTCCTAGGCCTCCATTGTAGGGTGAGGGCTTCCTTGTATCTTGTGGAAATCCTGGCCTGAATTGTCTCCATCTTGTAGGTGCACAAACTGGAGCCAGATGTATGGAAACACGTGGAAACCGTTTTTATAGATATTGCAGATCGGAGCCAGGTGCTTAGCAAGGTAGGAATTATTTTCAGGGTGAGAACTGATGGTTGACCAGTGTAACCTCCGAGAGGTTGGGGTGGTGTGAAGCCTTTTTAGAAACAGGAGAACCATATCCCTTCCTGGCTCAAAGGAGGCCTCTCTTATGTGTCTTTCAACTAAGTTCCAGAAGTTCTCTCTTTTTGGTTTGGGACTCTACTAGAGAAATCATGTGGTCAAATGACCTATCTCCCCATCCTGAAAGTCTTCACCCTGGGATATGACAACTGGGCTGGATTTCCCCAGACCGGCTAGCAATGTGTATTAAAGGTCTGCTCCACGTGGAATGCTGGGTAAAGCCGCAGGAGCCCAGGAAGGGGACAATGGTGATTTCTAAGGTGTGGATGAGAAGAGGAGGTGTTTGATTTTGGGACCAGAGCCCTAGGCGTGAGCAGCAAGACTCCGGCAGAGCAGAGTGTCTATGGGAAAGGTGGATCTCTGTCTTCCCAGGGCTCTGTTTGCATCAGGAGGGGAGGGGCTGGGGCCCAGGCCCTCTTCCCCCCGCTCTCAGGCAGCAGTGGGCATGCCTGTGCCTCATGTGCTGTGCCCGGGATGGCAGGGCCTTCTCTTCCAACAGTCGCTGTGTGTTCTTCAGATGGGTCTGTTTGTGTGTCGATGAAAAGATCTGAATTCTACTTTTGTCCTCCCGTGCTTCCTCAAGTCCCCTCCAAGAAGGGAGTCAGGGCTTTTAGGAGAGCTCATTGTTTCGGTGCACAGTAGATTCTCAGTTATTCCACATTGATGGGGGTGATTTAACAGATGCAACATGGCAGAGAACACAAACCACCTGTAATTGGCTGTGGAAGACATTCTGTGGCCCCCTTCTTTTTCTGTAGGAGACCCGCCCTCATAAGTAGATTTTTCTTGGGTGATTCAAGTGAATTTGCATTTCCTGAGTCTCAGTCAGGTGAAAGATGGCATAGTGAGCCAGGATTTAAAATTTACTGTGGCTAATTCACTCAGAGATGCTCAGGAATCGACTGTTTGCAAACCAGTGAAGTGAGACAGACTGTTAATGCACATAGTCTGCACTTTGAATTCTTTCCATCCTGCACCATTAAAAACGAGTTACGGAAAACAAGGCAGTGAGATCATGCCCAAAGATGTTTAACATATGGGCCCTTGGCATCGACACTGGAAACATTGTGTTTTTTGAGCTCTTTGGTCATGGGTATATATAGGGAAAAGTCTGAAAGAAACCCCGGCAGATAAAATAACATGGAGACCTCTCTCTGAGCAACCCTCGGTATTGACATAGCTCCTCGGGGACTTGCCATCTGCCTGCTTTTACTGGGGGCCGGCCAGTGGACTTAGACACTCTCAGCCTTCTCTGTGCTTGCTTTGGACAGTTAGCGGGCAGCAGGAATGGGGGGTGGGCTCCTTTATCAGTTAGATGAAGCTCTTTGTGCCCCCATCCTCACTCACCACCTTTCTTTCAGGATTACAAGCAGGAAGAAGATCCAGCAAAATTTAAATCGATCAAGACAGGACGGGGACCCCTGGGTCCCAATTGGAAGGTGCAGTTCATGCTCTCACCACCAGGGGGCTGAGATCAGGGACTGGGTGGGCTGAGGGCTCTGGCTTCCTGATGGAGTGGACCAGGGGAAGAGGACGGGTTTGGAGGACCTGAGGCTGGGCTGAAGGGAGCCCACTGGCTGCCCCCTCAGTCATGTGCTTGCCCACGGGTGTTTTCTCTGTGCAGAAAGAATTGGCAAGTCAGAAAGACTTGCCGTACATGTGCGCCTACAAACTGGTGACCGTCAAGTTCAAGTGGTGGGGCCTTCAGAACAAAATTGAAAACTTTATACAGAAGGTGAGTGGCTGGAAGGAGGAGGCGAGCGGGCGCTCATCAGGGACCGTGTGTGCATTGCCTGGGAAGAGCAGCTCAGGCGTGGCCTGCCTTAGATCTGTCTGGTTGGATTCTGAAGCCGGCAGGGTCGTCCTCCCCCCCAACACCCGACTCCCTGATGCTTTTAGCTCATAGGGGGTCAGGAAGGCACCCCAGTGCCATGGAGAGGGGAAACTGAGGGACAGAAATTGGAAAGGAAATGACTTGCTGTGATTCAGCTCAGACATTTGTTCCCTTTCTTTGAAACCCCAAGGCAGGAAGTTTGTAGTCAGAATTCCTCAGGGTCCTGAACTGCCGGGCTGGAACAGTACAATTGAGCACGTGCCCTTAATCCTGGTGTTCTCTTTCTGGGAGGTTTGAGACCCACACCAAGTTTACTGTCCTCACCTCCAGCCCCTGGTGGCTTCCGGAGAAGAAGCAAATACCTTTGAGTGCACCACATGCTGGCAGCATTCTCGTGTTTGGCCTGCATGCGCCCTCTTCACATCCTGGCGAGGCTCACCAGGAAGCCTCTGCCCTTTGGTGCTGCTCAGTCAGGCCTGGCCAGGAGGCCAGACCCTTCTTCCTCTAGTATCCCACGTAACACAGCCAGCTATGAATAAGCTTGTTTTCCCTCCCATCCCTCACCATCCTGGTGTTCCTTTTCTCCGGGCCTCTGCCTTGTGGATTTTGAGGCCCACTAAGAAATTGATGTAGAGGACCTGAGGTGAGAGCCATCCTGACCTCCCACCCTCTGGCCAGTAATGCAAATAAACAGATGTGGCCAGGCATCTCTTGCTCTGTAAACTGAAGTGTTGGCATCAGCTCTGATCACAGGAAGGAAGAGGGCAGTAGAGTTCTTCACCTACTGAACTGTCAACTTGTTCCCTCCATTTTTTTAGCAAGAGAAACGTCTGTTCACAAATTTTCACCGGCAGCTGTTCTGTTGGCTGGATAAGTGGGTTGAGCTGACTATGGATGACATTCGCAGGATGGAAGATGAGACCAAGAGACAGCTGGATGAGGTAAGTGGGAGCTTAGGGGGAGGCTCTGAAACTCAAGGTTAATCCATAGGCTAAATCCATAGCAGCTGATGATCAGAGGTGCATCAGTCAGGATCCTGGGTTGGATGGACCAGTATGACCCAGGCTGGATGGCACTGATTCTGTTCTGACAAAGCTCTGGGCAAGTGGGACAAGTGGGGCAGCAATTTGCAGAGGATGAATATACTGAGAGCTTTGTCCTGAAATTCTGGGAAGTTTTCTTGTTTCTTTTTTACCAATCAGCAAAACTGACTAGTTATGGAATATCTGCTCTGGAGCACTAGGCCCAACTATATATATGATACCTTCCCTCAAGGACCTCTGACAGACTGCTGTGGGGGGCCAAGACCCAGAAAATGCTGACCAAAGGAACAGAGGCCTGGGCAGTGCGCACTCAGTGCCAAGTAAGGGGTACAGACAACATGTGCCAGAGGAGTCCACGGGAAGGGTGGGCACCAGGCCCAGAACAGTCAGGGGGGAGGGAAGGGCAATGTGCTGGGGAATGAAGGATGCTGGGAACACACCTGTGGAGGGCATCGCTGGGCACCCCAGACAGTACTGAAGCAGCATCAACAGCTCACTTCCCAAGGTTGCCTTTAGCTTTAGTTCATTTTCACTTGGTTCTCTTGAGAATTTTAGCTTCTAGGTTTGTTGAGCCTTGAATTGGGACTGAGGGAGGAGGGATGGTTTGTGTCCCCTGAACGTCTTGGCCCTCCGCTGGAAAGACTGCAGCAGTGAGCAGGTGGGAATAAGGAAACAGCCATGGTGGGTGTTCCATTTCAGACCTTCCTGGGCATCTCAGAGCATAAGCACTGCACAGTCATGTAGCTGTGCTGGGAAGGGAAAAGCCTTTTCTATTCCTAGCCATTCTGCCCTCCCAAATGCCTTTTCCTTTACCTCCTGGGCCTCTGTGAGCTCCTCCCCTTGGAGCTTGGGGCGGGGCCAGGGAGGGGCTCTGTTGTGCTTTTCCTGAACTGGGGTGACTCACAGGGCTGCTCAGGCCAGTGCCAGGTAATCCCTGTGAGAGGCTAGCCATCTTGGTCACCCATCTGACTGCATCGGGCTGGCTCCTTGCCAGGCCTGGGACCATAGCCCCTGCTTTGCTATAGGTCTACCAAAAGTTGTATATTCATGACCATAGTTTGAGGCCTTGGGAGCTCCTAGCCAGGGAAATAAGTACACAAAAATGGGAATTTACTTTCTCATTTCATCAGTCAGCCAGCAAGCATTTATTAAGCATTTATATGTGCCAAGTACCATGGTTACAAATAAAAAGCGAAAACAATCTCTGCCCTCAGGGAGCTTACCTTTTAAAGTGAGGGAGAGGCCCTTAGATCTGGTAACTTTGGAGAGAGCACACGATTCTGACGTATGTATGTATGTATGTATGTATATACATGATAGTAACAAGCAAGGAACCTTCTGGTATCTGGGTAGGATGGTTCAGACCACTTGGAGAAAATTCTCTTGAACTTCCTGAAGGAAGTCGGGGTCAAAGAGACGGAGGTGAAAAGGGAACCCATTTCAGGCACAGGGGATGTTACTGATGCAGGCACAAGAGGCCTCAGAGATGTGGCCTGACATGGCATGTGTGAAGAGCCATGAGCAGGCGGGGCGGCTGCACTGCAGGGTGCATGGAGGGCGCTAATGTGGAATGACTGGAGAAGGGGGATCTAAATGCCAAAACTAGGAGTTTGTATTGATCGCCAAAGATCTCCAATGGGGATGGAGAGCCGTGGTTATACCTGGTCTTGAGGAAAGTCATTTTGGTGACCTTGTGGAAACCACATGGACTGGTGTGGGGGAGAGACTGGAGGCAGGGAGACCCGTCAGAAGGCTAGAACGCCATGGCAGTCATCCAGGCAGGAGAGACTGGGATGTGTAGGAGAGCCATAGAAACAACAAGATGTCAACGCTGATTGGGCAGGTGAGGTGAGAGTGAGGAGCTGACGTTGCCAACCTGGAGGACAGGAGAGTGGAGGAACACCCTACACATGTGGGGAACCCTGGAAGAAGGGTGGGTGTGGAGGGGGAAGGTGATGAGTTGGGTTGGAGATACCCATGGGACAGCCAGTTTATAGCTTGCTGATGGAGGCCTGGAGCTCAGGAAAAAGCCTAGGCTTGGCTCCCTAGATTTGGGAAGCGAGAAAGCATTGACTCCATGGAAGCTGATGAGTGATCACCAGAGAGAGAGGATGGAGGGGGAAGGAGAAGAGAGCAGAGCCCAGGGAGAGAACAGCCATAGATGGAAGGTTGAGCCAAGAGAGAGCAGTATCCAGGAAGAGAAAAGGTAACCGCCTGTGCCAAGTGCTACAGATAGTCCAGGACGGAAAGATTGAGAAAAGCCCACTAGACTTGAAAGACTAGAAAGAGCCTTTCAAAGAGCCATTTCAGCTAAATGGAGGGGTCAGAAGTGGTTGGCAGAGGGTTTAGAAGTGTGACAGGAGATGAAGCGGGCACACTGGGTGGAGATAGATGGCTTGGTCAGGGTGTTTAGTCGAGAAGGCGAGGAAGAAGAGATATCAGAGGGTAGCTTCCAGAAAAAGATCTAATGAGGATTTTTCAAAGAATAGGGGGCCTTGGGTATGGTTGTAGGTAGCAAGAAAGGAACCAGCAGTAGAAATTGAAGATTAGAGAAGGGAAGATGATAGTGGGGGCAGTCTGCTGGAGAGGATGGGCAGGGGGAATGAAGAGTTCATGAAGAGGGCTTGGCATTGGCAAGGAGAAGAGAAAGCGAGTAGGAGACGGTGTCAAGTGGCTGTGAGAGGAGAAGAGTTCCAGAGAATGGTCTTGATCTCTTTTGGTCACTTATGTGATAGGCGAGGTTCTCTGCTGAGTGAGGTGCTAAGGGAGGCTTGAGGGAAGAGCTTTGGAGCAGCCCTGGTCGTGGGCAGGGTAGATGTTTGGCTAGGGAGGAGCAGAAGAATGAACTTGCTGCAGGTGAGATTAGATAACAGATTTGTGGTGGATCTTGGCCAGGTTTTGTGACTTCTTCCAGCCCCTTCAACAGGGTGTGAGTAGGAGCAAAGGAGCCGAATTTTGGGAGTAATCCCGGGTTGGATTTCAGCAAGGAATAATTGTGGAAGAACAATGAAGCAAGTTGAACTGGCTCTTCAAGGTGTCAAGGTTGGGGAGGGAGGTGAGTGTTGTAGCCAGAGCCAGGGTGCTGGATGGCCTCGAAGAGGATTGAAAGGGTCAGGGATCAGAGGGCATGACAGGGTCAAAGTGCAGTGTTGGAAGCAGTAAGGCATAGAATGACATGGAATAATAAAAGATCATGACTAGTTAAAGGAATTGCAGAGGTCTTGAACATGAACATTGAGCCCTTGTGGGTGGTGATGGTGAGACAAAGGCCATGGCCATCTCTGTGTGAAACTGATGTGGGAGTTGAGTACATTGAGGCAGATGAGTGTTATTAACACTGACTCCCCTGCTGGAACCAGTGAGTCAGGGAGCAGGCCAGAAAGTGCAGCCAGTCCTGGAGAGGATAGCCAGGGATGCAGGCTCATCTTGGCGAACTAGTGTCAGGGAGTGCCAGAAATGGCAGGAGCAAGAGAAAGAGGAAGTCTGAAATGAAAGGAAGTGGTTTAGGTATTGAGGAGGAACTTCAGAGGGTTAGAACAACAGCATGGGGAGAGAGGGAGAGGAATGAGCATTTATTAAGCACCTCCTTTGTGCCAGGCACTGAGCTAAGTGCTTTCTAAGTATTATCTTATTTCATCCTCACTGATAACCTGGGAGGTGGGTGCTATCATTATCTCCATTTTATAGATGAGGAAACTGAGGCAGACAGAGTTTAAATGACTTTCCCAAGATCACACAGCTAGTTAGCTGAATTTGAACTCAGGTCTTCCTGACTCCAGGTCCAGCACTCTATCCACTGTATCACCAAGCTGCCTCCAGTGAGGATGTGGAAGCAGACAGCTGGGGTTTGGGGTTCTTTGGCAGTCTGGGGGCTCATCATCACTGGGATGGAGAATGTGAGAGGGGCTGGGAGCATGCAGACCATTTGGGAACACGTTGAGACAGAGGATCAGCAAATAGCAGCAGGTCTTCTGGCCAGGGCAGGTAAGGAGAAGGTCGAAGGGCTCCTCAGTGTTGCCTTGTGGTAGCTGCAGTCTGTGTCTTGGGACTCCTTCTCACAGAGATTGGAATCCCTCCAGCTGGAATTCATGACAGTAACCCCAGCAGGTCAGAGCCCAGACCCCAGGCTTGAGGCCTTGTGCAGATCACATAATGAGAATCACAAGGCACCATCTGACAGCAGCTTCCTGTGACTGCTGGTAACCTGCAGGAAGCCAGTGGCTCCTGGAGCTGACTGGACTCTCCAGAGCTCATCATTGATCTACTACCTTCATGCAGAACCATCCAAACTGTCCCAAACAGAGGAGAATTAATCCTTTTTAATGACTGCCAGAGAATCCAGTTTGCCCAGTTTCCTCTGCTCTCATTCTAGTGGGTGTAACTGCCATAGTTATGACGAACCTCCTTTCTTAACTCCTCCGGCTGCATCTTCTGCCCGTTTCTGTGTGTTCTCGCCTTGGTACCGGCGAGGCAGCAGTGCTCTCTGCCCCCGGTGGAGTAGCTGCATAGCTATGAAACCCTCTGTAGCAGAGGACTTAGCATTCAGAGGTTGGAATGCTCCTGCCCTTCTAAGCCCCGACCACTGGCTCTGGGCAGGTATCATATAGAAGAGAGATGAGACTTGACCTGTTTGCCCCTAAGAGGGCAGGATCAGGACCAGTGGAGAGCAGATTAGGAAACGGGCCTAAATAGGGCAAGTGACTTACTCAGAACCACACCACAAGTCAGTAGCTAGAAACTCAAGCAAAGGCCAAGTGTGGCGCTCACACTGCTTCCAGAGGTGAGCCCTGGTGATGTGCCAACCAGGCCCACCCCAAAGCTGGAAAGACTGGAGCCACTGGCAAAGGCCCGGGGTGCCACTTGCACCTCCAGCACTAGGCCTGACACAGAACTGAGTC